TTATTTACATTTAATATATAATACAATTAAAATTTTGAAATTATATTGTTAAATAAAATATATGATATTTAAATTAATTTAATATTTAATTAAACATTTTATATTAAATTAAAATATTTAAATATATTATTTGTTAAACTGACCGGTTCTTAAGAACCAGGACCGGTTCAACGGTCAGCCAGTTGAAGGTTCAAATTGGCTTTGACCGGTTCTTCAGGAGGACTGAACCTGCCTTAAGACTGGTTCACGATCGAATCGGCCGATCCGGTCTGATTTTCAAAACAGTGCTCAAATTATAATTAGTCAAGTGCTTTAGCAACAGTTTCTTATGTTCCATCTTGAAGATAAGGTGCGGGCTCCACTAGAGTGGACGGGAAGCAAGAAGTGCAAAGGGGATTAATTCCACTCTAATTACTTATTATATTAAACTAAAATTTTGATAAAATTAGGACTGTTTAATTAGGAAAATATGTCTGATTTGAATTCAAACTTGTGGGGAAATTATGTAAGGCATATTTACAGAAAGAGGGCTGATTTAAATTCAGGGAATTATAAAATGTTTATTTAGAAAAAATTGGTTGAATTGAATTCAGATGTGGGAGGAAAATATGAGCGTTTATATTAGGGTTAATTGGGTTATTTTATTTTCATTAGTGATTGTGTTTATTATATATATATTTTTTAGAGTTGTTTTTAGTGACGCATAGGGTTTGTAGGAGTAGATCTACCTCTTAAATAGTAGATCAATTGTATATTTTATTATTTGTTGAAGAGATAATAAAAAATTAACCCTAATATTTGGTTCCTATATTTTTCCTCTTATATACTTGTTGTTTTTTACTTCCAAGATGCATCAAAGGGCTAAGAAGTTTAATAATTTTTTATTTAAATTATGATATTTAGGTAGGAATATACTAAAAATAGTATATGTGTGATTATAAATAAGAGTTTGAAGAACAATGTTGAAGAAATTAATAGTATTAGAGATAAAATCATAGCTTTAAAGATTATTGTTGATGCTTAAATTATTAATATCATAAATGCTTATGCTCCTCAAGTAAGTTTGGATGTGTTCAAAATTAAAATTTCGTAATTACTTAAAAAGAATTCATATAAAAGCTACATATAAAAAAATTTATTGGAGGTGATTTAAATGAATATGTTAGTAGAGAGATAAAAGATTTTAAAACTATTTATGATAGGGTTTAAGGTTTAGAGACTAATAAAATGTGGCATGATCATATTAGATTTTACTTTAGTTTATGATTTTATAATTAAAACTACCTTATTTAAGAAATAGAGGAGCATCTCGTCACTTAATAAGAATGAAACAAATAAAACTCAGATTGATTATTTTCTTATAAGAAAAAATAGATTGATTAAATTGCAAAGATTGTAAAATCATTCATAGTGCAAGTTTATGTAGCTAACATTGCTTATTAGTTTTGTACTTTAAGATGAAGCGGCTAATTATAAAAAATAAAATAAATTATTTTCCTAAAATTAGATTGGAACATTTAAAAAACACTAACAAAATTATTTTTTATAATAAAATTCAAGATCTTATGATTTTGACTGTGCATGAGAAAGCTAAATTATGTGAGAAAAAATAAGTAGTAATATAAACAAAGTTGTAAGGAATACACTTAGTATCAAAAGGAAAAGCTCATAATAGTAAAAATAATTAATGGTTGAATCAAAATGTGCAAGAAAATATCAAAAATAAAAAACTTTGTTATAAAAATTGATTTATGCGTAAAAGATCAGAAAATTGAAAAGATATAAAGAGACACATAAGAAGTTTAAGAAAACAACATATGATACAAAGAATTTAATTTTTAATGATTTATATAATATATTAGATACTATGGAAGATGTAAAATGTATGTATAAGCTAGTCAAATAAAGAGATGAGAAAAATAATGATTTATTTCAAGTAAAGTGCATTAAGGATGAAGATAAAAATAAAAATTTATTAGAAGAGGATTTCAACAGGGGTTGATGAGATATTTTGATAAGCATTCAATGAAAATTGTGAGAATATGATTATTTTTAATAACCTTAGCACACTAAATTAACATTGATTTTATTTTTATCAACGTATTAATAAAACTAAAGTCAAAGAGGTTTTTAAAGAAAATAAAGTGTGGAAAAGCTGTTGGGCCTGATGACATTATAATAAAGGTGTGGAAATGCATAGCAGATGATGAAATTTTTTGGCTTATGAAATTTGTCAATATTATTTTAATGACTAAAAGGATGCAAGATGAGTAGAAGAGTGTGTTGATTCCTATTTTTAAGAATAAAGATGGTGTACAAAAGTGTACAAGTTATAGAGGAATTAAGTTAATGTGTCATATTTTAAAACTTTGGGAGAGAGTTATTGACCGTAGATTATGACGTGATACTAATATTTCTCAAAATTAATTTTGATTCATACTGGGTAGATCTACTATGGAAATTATACATTTATTGAGAGATTTGGTGGAGAAATATATAATAAGGAAGATATACATATGATATTTATTGATTTAGGAAAAGCCTATGATAAAGTTCCAAGAGAAGTGCTCTAGAGAGTTCTAGAAAAGAAAGGGGTTAATAATGCTTATATTCAAGTCATTAAGGATATGTATAGAAGAGTTGTTATTTGTGTTCAAACACAAGGTTGTTTTACCAAGTATTTTCCTATTTTAATTAGCTTACATCAAAGATCAGCTTTAAGCCTATATCATTTTACTCAAGTCATGGATGTTATTACTAGACATTTGCAATAGGGTGTACCATCGTGTATGCTTTTTACTAATGATGTTCTTCTTGTTGATTAGACTTGAGAGAGTTGAAGATAGACTTGAACTATGGAGGTCAAACATTAGAGCATAAAGGCTTTCGTTTGAGAATATCTAAAACTGAATACATGAAGTATGATTTTAGTAGTAATACATATGGAGGAGGAATGACTTCAAACTATCAAGTCATCAATAAGAGTACATGTTTTAGATTTCTCAGAACAATAATTCAAATTGATGTTGAAATAAGTGGGGATATTATTTGTAGAATTGAAGTTGGATGGTCGAAGTAGAG